TTAGCCCCTGCGACTAGATTTTGAAGCAAAAATGGCCAGTTCACACGATGGGACTTGTCCCCGCGACTTGTTGCAGGGACTAGTCGCAGGGACCAGTCCCCTCGTGAGTGCCGACCTTAACTCCGTTCAGAAGGAAAAAACTGCTCCAAGAGTAAGACCATCCAACTTTAAAAGTAGATACATGTATTGAAATTCAGAGCTATTATGGTTTCCGCCTCTTTCACTAACTTACTAGTAGCCTCCTACAGAGACGTTCTCTGGGCTCGTCACGCGGTTTGCCTCCCTTCGTGGGGAAAGAATCAAGATTGCGTGACGAGCCCACAGAGCGCGTCTGCATAGGAGGCTACAACTTAATTACGCGGTCGTAAGTTGTATCCAGTTTTTACCCACCCCCCCTCTCCCTTAATACGCACATCCCAGTTGCGAGAGTTTCTGCTTGGTCAAAATTTTACCACCCACATCGTTACTTTGCCGGGGCAGTGAGCAGCCATATTAATTCGCACTGAGAATTCCGTAACTTTTGGCTGACTGAAGAGAGAGTGCCCAAGCAACTGTTAGCACGTTACATTGCAATCCTCGGAAAAAAAGAAGGGCAGGGTGGGGTCGCAAGAGTTAATTTTAAATCCGATCTTCATCAACGGACGGGGGAGAGGAGAGGAAGAAAACGCATTGAGAGGAAAAACGCCCTGGGGATAGGGTCGGGATTGAAGCTACGGGCGACAGAGAGGGAGAGGAGGAATTTCAAATAGCTGGGGATTGGTGACCGGTTTTTGAAAATTTCATTTTTTACTTATTACAGTATATCCTTGAAAATGTCCATGGTAGTGAAAGATGTCAGGTCAGTGACGTAATAGGACAACAGGACAGCAGTTAAAGCTTGATTGGTTAATTCTCTATGGATAATTCCTTATTTGGTTACAATAAAACTTCAAATCAGAAGGTCCAATAATGATACAACCACGCTGACTAGTGCAGATTTACAATACAAAATCAGTACAAGACATTCAATTCCCTTTATTTTGTCTTCATATGCACTATTGTTTTACCCTACAATAATTTGTCACGAGATAATTTGAACACTCCTTCAGAATATAGCTAGGTAGCTAGGCAACGCGGTGGCGCTTATCTTTTTCCCCCTTAAATGACACGTGTTCGAAACTAATCAGCCGCTCCAAGGGCTGGGCACCGGGCATATTGACCAGCTGCGGGGATGACTTTACTCATCTGGTTTGACTATCGAGCGGAAAGTTTTTTTCTTATCACGAAGTTCAGATAAAATAGTTTTCCCCGCCTGTGAAAACCAGTTGCCCTCCTGTTAAAAACGTTATTAAAACCCCTAAACAATATTTGTTCCAACAAACTGTCCTCTAGTCGAGGAAAACGACAAAGACTAAAATAATAACCTCGACACGTTAGTATCTTCCTTGAGAAGCACAGGGCTAAATAACTGTTCCTTGTTTTGGAATTTCATTTTGTCCTTCTAATGTGACTTGTTTTTTCGTTGCCATTTACAAGCCACCTCATAACCACCACTTATTATTACACTAAACACCATTCAATTGTGCACAATTGTTCTTGAAATAGTTATCGTGTTTTATTTCTCGAATCCTCTGCTCACTGTGAACAGATGGTTGCGTTGCCTTGAGCCTTCTCAGTGGATTGAAGCAAATTCTTGAAGCAAACTAAACTGCTCTAGATTGCTAACAGAAATCGTTCTCCGAACATCGATCACTATCGAACGGACCTGTGGAAATACCAACACAGTCAAATCAATGCAATGAAAAAACCAAACGAATTTTAACTTTTCGCTCGCGCACGATGGGTCTAAACACGTTATATAGTGGGACACATGCCCCCACCTTAACCTGTGGAATATCCAAGTGACATTCCCCAATTTTCAAAACCGCGCGAGTTGCGAAAAATATTTAAAGGATAATAAATACAATGACCTCCATTTGGCGGGAAAATATGCTTGGACATTTGTCCTTGGAGATTGTCTGTTCCTCAAAGCTCATAGTTTTCCTCGAGCTACGCTCTCGGAAAACTGTTCGCTTCTCGGAACAGATAATGTCCGCGGACAAATATCCGAGCATATTTTCGCGCCAAATGGAGGCTATTGTTTATACCACGAGGTGTCTGTATTTTCCTTTGGGCTACAGGTTAACACATACCAGTTGAGTAAAGTAGGACGCCTCCTTCGGCTTCTCTGAGTATTTCTCATAATGATCTAAGTTTTCTTGCAGTTTTAGGGTTAACGTGTCATAATTACTGCGAATCACGCTTAGCACCTGAAAAAGAAAAAAAAAAAGCATTCAACTACAATTACAGTCAAACCCTTATTAAAAGGCTAGATGGTCATAGCCTCCCTATTTACGCAAGCGAAAGAAAAGCGACCGAAGCAAGTTGGAAGCACGCGGAGGTGGGGGGTTGGGGTTGCTCTCGGGTCCCCACCCCCTGCCCAGTCAAGTCTTCCGTTTTGCGCTGGCGTCCAGTTCTCTCGCGATTCTATCCGCGCGTTCAATGATCGAATAAAAATACGAGAAAATAGAGGCCTGTAACAGTCTATTAAAACGCCAGCTACTAAGCGGCCACCCCTGTTAAGCAGCCAGTTATTTTTAAGTCCCGAACTTTTTTTCAGTAAAATACTGCAAATAAAACCTTATTAACCAGCAACGTCTATTAAGCGATCGTTACCACCTTTTGGTCGTCCCAATGAAAGTTTTCCAATTGTCTTTACCCCTTTTAGCCCATTACACGACCACCCAAGATCAGGAGCTCGTGCCAAAATTTAAAGTCCGAAATAGAAAGTGACGACTGATAAAAGCATTCAAACACACGTTTATCATGATTGTCTTGACTTAATTCCATGTTCACTACGAAATTTTAAAAAATAATAATAAATTAAAAATATTCAAAGCACAGCAACTCCTATTAAGCGGCCACCTCCCATTTCTCCGAGGGTGTCCGCTAATAGGAGCTCGACTGCTCTCAAGGGCAGCATTTCAAAATCCGAGTTTTTTAGCCATTAACAAGATTAATCTTTGAATTGAAGGAATATAGAAATAGTAGTTTACTGAGGTAAGAAAACACCAAAGAAATAAGCAAGGCCCAGTCCATATGGGCTACCAGGTATAAGATGGCACGTGTCGTACACGGCTCGAGCTTTTAGCGCCAAAAATGGTTCACATTCTGACCAGCGAAAATGCCAACAAACCTGTTCCGAAGAGAGTGACGTCAGATGATTGACGGCTGCCCATGAATCGATTTTCGGCGTAAAATGGTTTATGATTGCTCTGTGTGTAAGAAATACAGAAGTTCAAGAGTCCAAGATATTTCAATATTCAATCTGTTATGAAAATGATTGGGAAGACTTGTGCCAGCCAGGTTGTTGCTTTTCCTTTTATGGATGCTTTGAATTGAGTACCGTACAACCAAAACCAAAGTAATCACTGTAGCCAATCACAAAAGATTCAGATAATACCGTGACCCAAACAAAACTCGAAGCAAATACACGTGGCTGAAGCGAAGCGCAGGAAAACCTGTGCGAGCGAGTCAAGATTGGTTTTGGTTTTACTTCTGATTGGATGAAAAACTGGCACGATGTTTTAAGCCAATCGCGTACCGTAGTAATGTCAAACAAAGGCAAAGCGAGGTACGTTATACACTCAAGCGAAAACTGCTCTACAATTCATTGGTTCCGTTGGAAAGCAACATACTTAGGTAACATTGCAATTCGTTATGAGCATTAGAACTTGAATAATTTTGTTTACAAACTCACCTGACATTCACTAAAGAGCTGGCAAGACGGGATGCAGGATCTTTCCAGTCGCCACCATTCGTTGAATGTCTTAATGCTGTTAAAAACAATGAACAGTTGTTTTTTTTTTTTCATGAAACGCACTAAGCCATTTATCTTTTGCATACGGACATCACACGCGAGACTAGACCAGAAAAATTCTATTCTGATGACGTAGCTCAACAGAGATCGGTGCGGTGTCTCTGATTGGTTGCTACTCGGATTTGAATTTTCCCGCGCAAGTATCAACCAATCAGAAGCGCCACTTGAATCTCTGTAGACCTGCGTGATCAGAATGGAATTTTCTCTGCCGAATGTTGAACAATACCATTCTCTAAAAAAATGACTTACTTCTATCTAACAAAGTTTCATCAAGCGAACACCAAACCAGTTTATCAGACTCACCCATTGAATAGAGGTTGTCAAAAATCTGATGAACGCGTATGATTTCGTAGTAAAGCTCATCATAAGATGTGGGAGAAGGTAGAAATGTATCTCCATACGTGATAAACAAATTGAAGATGTTAACCACCTAAAGAAACAGATAACATTAATATTTTCTGATATTGAAACTCTACTCACACAATTTTATATCCCGTTCAAGGTCATTTATGTTGATTCTTGTTGAGTTTAACGAAGATAATTTTTCCTTTAATGTTCAGCCTCACATAAACTGTCGAATAAGATGATGTATCTTTTTGTTTAAGAACAGACACTCTAAGGTGGAATTGTTCGAAAATAAATGCGAGCGCATTTCGTGTGGACTGCGAAAACAGAGGTTTTGAAAGACAATTAAAAACGATGATGCTAACAATGACATACCGATTTGCAAAACCCAAAAGTTTCGATCGTTCTCAAAACTCTTCACGTTGGAGACATTCTTCGACCTTGAATATCTAACTTTGGGAACAAAAATCATTCTTTCGAGCCGCTTACAGTCAATTTAAAGTGCGTATGAAGTAAAAAATAATAGCTGCTTATTTGAAAGGCTTTTCAAAGTAGAGAAGAATGGCGTTTTCCTTTTTGGAAAATCTTTTTTTCGTTTTAAAGATATTTGCGTTTTTCTATTATGTAAATTAGGAAAGTGATGACGTCATAGGTGGTTCCACTTAAACAATAAAATACTGAATCAAGAATATCTCCAGAAATATTGGAGCAGTGTTGTTCAGACTCTATTCCCGAGAAGGCAGTCAAAAACTAACCTGTGAGGCCAGGGAGAAGATATCAGAGGTCTTTGTGAGCACAGTTTCATTGGAGAGAAGGAATTTAAGGAAGTTCATTAGAGCCGTCCAGAAGTTCTTCCAGGAATAAGAAAGCCTGACCCGACACCTCTTCTGGTAACAAAGCATACGGTGGAGAATTCCAAATGTTTTACTGCAACAATAAAAGAAGAACCAAGTCTTGTATATATAGAAGGGAGAGCTATTCCACGAGGCTGTTTCTCTTTACTAGACACAGCATTTCAACCGTAACACCTTTCAAATTTTAAGATGCTGGTATGACTTCATCTGAGTCACGAAGCCAGACGGGAGCACGTATATCCTGCGTAATCACCCACCACCTATTCCCGTCTGGCCTCGTAGCTCAGTCGGTTAAGCAGCAGTAATCTAATCTGGAGATCGTGGGTTCGAATCCCACCGAGATCACAGAATTTCTCTTTACCCCGTGTGGTCTCCCATTCTTTCGAAGCCTAATGCTAAGAACGAAATTCAGCACTATAAATTACTTGAGGGTTAATTTTCTTCTTTCCAGCTGTGACGGATGAAAGCACAGACTCAGCTTAACACCACGGATCAAAGCGACACAAACTTTTAGCGCTATAAAGGTCATAAGAAAAGGACGATAAGATAAGAACTTTATTAGTGTGTCGAAGTCCCAAGCACGGACAGGCCATCGGATAAAGGTAGAAAATGGATTCAATTATTTAAAAAGTACTTTGACAGGGATATCTAGGAAATCTTGGCCGACATCAAGGTCTTAACACGTAACAATCTATTTTGCTGAGCATGTTTACCTGTATAAGTCGGTTTGTAAGGTTTTCATCATGTGAGTTACAATAAACTCCACCATAAGATCTGAAAAAAAAGGTACAGATTACATCCATTGTCGTTATTCCACGTAAAGCGAAAATAATAGCTGTGAGGTAGACACCAATTATTTCAGTCTTCCTGTAGCGTATTGCTCGAACACCGTTTTCTTGCGAGACAAAGCGGGCAATCCCGATTGACCAAGTAAACTCCATGTCGCTCATATGGGTTAGCCAATCATATCCCAAGATTTGGTACAAAGTGCTTACTCCCGGAATAACAATAAAACTGTAAAACACTTACGATTTATTATCGCAGGAATTTTTTTCCCAACAGCTGGTGCTCTCATTGGCTACTTCGAGGTCAACTGTTTCCCGTCAATAGTCTCTGAGCAGCCAATATGACATAAAAGGGTAACAGTGCAAAGTTACCCGCGAATTTTGACCAGCGACCGCCGTTGCATGTAAATTCATTTAACCTCTTCGCTCACTTAATGACTAGTTCCTCGGGAAACAAGTTGATTTTGTTTAACTCGAATCTCAGTATTTCCCTCGGCTCCGAGAGAAAAATAACTGTCTCCCTAAGGACCCAGTCAGTAAGCGTTTAATCTTCACCTCATCCCAAGTCAAGCTTCAATGGGAACCGAACTCTCGAAAACTGTACGCTAAATTCTGTATTAATACTCACCAAGTAACGCGCAAGCAAGAGGTCGTGAGGGAGCATTCTTTTCAATAACGGCGCCTCTGTGATACATTTGCTGGCAGAAAACAATTGAATCAAACATTAACAAGGACTTCGCCAAGCCAAAACTAGATCAAGGGTATCTAGAATTCTTCGCTATCAAAAAAGTGAACTTGCTTCCGCTGAATGTACTGCCGAAGTGATTCCCATCAAGAAAAGTTTACGTTTCAGGCCCCCGTCCACGCTACGCCGGAGGATTTTGAAAACAGAGGTTTCACTCTGAAAACGCATCAAATGTTTTCTATCTACACTACGCCGCAATGGAGCATTTTGAACCATTTAGGTAAACTAGTTTTACATATAGAATGCACTATTCACTCTGGACAGGTTATATTTTGCGACAACTAAACCCTCGTGGCTATTCGATGATTTCCGGTTTTTAACTGTCCAATCAGAACGCAGTACGAGCGCTGCGGAAGTTGTCACGAGAGCTGTCGTCATCAGGATATATGTAAATCATGTCGCTCAGCAACAGCCCTGCTCAGGAACGCGGGCTCACTAGCACTTACCACTCTGTGTAAAGGAACTGAGAACGTCATGTTTGCATCATGAAGGAAAACATTGGCATATTGATCCTGTGGAAAATAAGACAGCAAATATTAATTCAGCTCTTTGTTGGTTCTTAAGGTTGTTTCCTTGAGGTAACCTCTTACGTAGACATCAGGAAGCTTAAACAAACCACGAATTTAACGGCAACTAGAAGGGTTTAATGAGCAGAACAATGGATATGCACGTGCGTTGTAAATCTTGCCACAAAGGGACTATTGTTTGCTAACAGGCTAATTGCTTGGAGGAAAGCAACACAAGCTCAGCTTAAATTTGCCTTCAGAATGAAATACACTCTGTTGCAACCACTGCTGCGAGGTATAAATCTTGCTCCTTCTTGTTTAGCAAGAAAGGCGCCAATTAAGGTTTTCATGTGGACTGCCCAAGTGGCATTATACGCAATTTCACCCTCCATGAAAACATCCACGCAATGCCCGTGGTGACATTAACCGCGAAAGAACTGGGTACCACGTCTAAAAGTAACTTGACAGGGTTTCCGCTTGGAGTAAGGCCTATATGGAGAATTCGCTCTTTGACATTTCATCTTCTCTTTGTTACTTTAGGCTTACCTCAACAATGCACGTTAAAATGATCAGACACAGCTTGGCATTGCTTATACCCTTGTCGTCTGGAAGGAAAAGAAACACACTCGCCATGTTAGCGACGTGGTGTTGTTTAAGGACGTTCGCGCGAAAACTTTCCAACATTGATTTTTTTCTGAGACTTTTACCACTGTAAGAGGATGAGTTAGTTATGTCAGAAATGTCAACAAATCGGGGGTCACCAACTTCGTTTTGGAGAGAACGTGACTCGAAGAACACCCTAAATCTGAAAAAAATCGGGCTTCGTTAGCGAATAAGGCCACAGTGTCTGTAGGTCCAAAAATATTGCAATTAGATCTTTGAAGTGAAATGTTCTCTGCCACATATTGTGTAAGTGGACCTATCAAGTGAATTTACTCAACTGGTGAGTTTCCTTAAAGAAGAAGTTCGCCGGCATTTAGCGACCATAGTTTCAGGCACGTTGCAGCCGCAAGATTGCAGGATTCGATGTCCCGTGCACAGAAATCTTGAATTTTTTTTAACTTCCTACATTAATTTTTTGACCATTTTTGGACAGTGTGGAGATAATTGTAAACAAAACCTGTTTCTAGAAAGAAAAGTAGGGGTCACCGAATGTCCAAGATCGTTAAATCCAGGCAAAGCTACAGCAATGGTCATCTGCCTTATCATTGTTCATTTTATTACTTAGCGCGCGCTCTTATGCGTGACGTGGTGTATGAATTTGCGTGCGCAGTAAGGATGCGCAGAAACAATTAGTGCGAACGTCCTAAAAGGTAAAAATTGATAATGAGAGGTTTCCTTGCAGAATTAATATACGGGAACAAAAGAGAAAACGAGAACTATGAAGTTACATGTCCTACACCTTGTAAAAATATTATGGTACACTATATACCTTTTGTATTCTGTACAGCAATGGAAGAGTAGGTCAAAAGAGTGACAAGTAAATTGGTGGGTTGGCTCAAATCTGGAGGAAAATCTTCAACAACGGCAGCTACAAAAAGAAACGCGTAATAAATGTGATTTGATAAAACACAAGAAGTCTTTCCAAACAGGTGTGTTCTATTACATGAATTCAAATGTAAGCTTAAGAAGTCTCCTAGATCTTAGGAAGTCCAACACCAGTATGGCTAAATCTGAAAACTGACTCATACATCTTCTGAGGTTTGCGTATACGATTCCTTCGCTATCCTTCACAGAACTTGTAGCAACATGGAACTTACTCACAAACTCGAAATACCTTCTATCTAAAGTTTAAGGCTTTTAATTCCATTAACTCTTAATTAAAGGGGATATCATTCGGTGTATTAAGTAGAATTATACAGCAATGTATTATACCAGTTGCAGTCCTTTCAACAACAGGAGGGGCAGCGGTAGGTGACGGAGGGGGACTGGACCCTGGAGCAGTCTGGAAAGAACAAGACAACTGGATCTTTAGATTACTGTGTGACGTGAAATTTTAGCGCGTTATTATATTTTATTTTATTTTTTTTTTTTTTTT